GGCCATCATCTAAGGCGCCAGGGCATGGACTCCTACTGTTCGAAGCTCGGGCGGTTCGACTGGTTGGTGCCGGGTAAGACCTGGGCGGCGAAATGATGCGGAACAGATCGGGAAACATGGGTTTGTTTTCTTTTCTCCTTTTGGGGTGCTAGAATGTCTGGGAGTTGTGATTCCCATGGGCAAAATGCATACAGGCCTATAGGCGTTTGCAAATGTGTTTTGATCCTGTACATGCGTCTACCTAATCATTTTGTATATTTGTAAATTCTGTAATTGCTACTGTATTTACAGTATGTGACATATGTGTATGTATATATATATATATATCTGTATATGGAGCCTCTCTACATGCAAGACAGCGCACCAAAAATATCCAAAAATCAACTGCTTGCTGAATCTTCTGCTGGCACCGACCGTGGGCGTTTGATCAGGTCCCGGGGGCAAGCGCGCGCACCGCCCCGAACGTGCTCGCACCGAGCCCGATGCTGGCCGCCGGTGGATGGATGATCTCAAGGGAGGAAAGGGCGGTGGAAAGAAGACACATGACCAAACCGCGTGATGTCCAAAGGACCACTACGATCGGTATGCCTAAGATGGGTCCAAACTGCGGGAAGAGGATGGAAGAGCACAGATGGACCAAACCTGGACCAAGCCCGGACCAGGGGCTTTTCAAGCCTGGCTCGTGAGTTCTTTTGCTGGTCTCCTGGCACGAGGCTCCCATTTTCGAGCCGGGGTCTACACTGGGCAGGCCAAGGGGCAGGCCAAGATGCAACCAGCGTAACCGGTCGTTCCAAAGACCACAACGCCCTGAGGACAGAAACAGGGAAAGAGCACCTCGTGGCTAGAAGCCACCAAGGGCCCATAGAGAATCAGCCCTTATGCCATGAGCAACTCCACACTCACAGTGTCCGTTTTTTAGTGTCATGGATTTGCAGCTCTTCCATAATATCACATGTCACATTTCCTTACCTGGTGGCTGTAGCATGCTGCAGCCAGGACCCGGTTTTGTACTAGCGTTTTGGGGTGGAACCCACATTGAATTGCCTTCACTGCCTCTCAGTCATCCATGCACGGAATCGTTGCATCATCATGTTACATCCAATGAATTCACCAGGCTTCACAGATGTGACCTTCCGTTCGTGCTCGGCCGAGATAACAAACTACATGGAGAGCCAGATGAGGAGAACTTGGGTGGCCGGCAGGGAGGTGAAGGTGATTGGCCTGAGGAAAGTGAAGGTGTGGGGACGTTCAAGAGTGTCACCCCTCTGAAGCTGAACTGCTCAAATGGGGAATCACGTTCTTGCTTTCGGGACATCAAGCGACCTAGAACTTGGTCGCAACGTCCCATCAGAACCCGTCGCCTTCACCGTCCAGGATGTGCTGGTGGGCTATGGCGATCTGAAGCGCAGATCCTCAGTCTTCCCCAGTGATATGGAAGGCGGTGAAGTTGCTCCTCCCACGGGTCCTCATTTTATCTCATGTTGTTTAATCTGTGGTGTTTTCCTTTAAAGCCCTCCTTGTGAGATTGATGGATCTCAGATGTGCTGGCCGTTTGTCAAGAAACGCCGTTTTCACAGCATGTGCTGTACTAGGTATATAATTATTGCCCATCAACACTCGTTGGAACACCTTGGTGTTCCATCGCTTCCCTTTGTTCCTAGTTTCTCCCTCCTTCTCCGAGACTTAAAGTAGACCCCAGCAAATCATTCCAAATTCCCTCCCAACTCTTTCAGTCAAAGAGCCTCCTCCCCACCCCACCGGGCCAGCGGGAGGCAATGGGATGTTCCCAAACACTGCCCGGCTGGGATGCGACGTGGACAATCAAGGCCCGGCGTGGTGCCGTGGCAGATCTTCAAGCGGGGCACCATCTTCCTGGCCATCTCCTGGGCGCCCGGGACGCGGGATGGACCGAAAACTTCTGCTAGCGGGAGTGGAAGTTATAAGGGCTTTTTGGCGGGGACAGCCAGATAAGAACAGGCTGGGCTGCTGGGCAAACCAAGCAAGTATGCGAGGCATGTATATTCGAAATGTTTTTTCTGTTGTTTTTTGGGTGAGGCAGAGATTTTTGAGGACATTTTCAGCAGATCGTGTGCCAGCTCCTCCCAGCCCCTCACAGCTCTCCATCGAGGTGCTCGGGGCCTGCTGGGGTCCTCAGACGATCAACGCAGCGGATGAGGCCGAAGGATCGCCTAGTCAACTCCCAGCCATCTTTAACAAGAAGCTACTAGTAACAAGAAGCTACTAGTAACAAGAAGCTTCTAGGAACAAGTGCATCGCTTCTAGTAACATGTGCCTTACTAGTAGTAACAATGTTCGCTCTTCTTCTTCTTCTTCTTCTTCTGTTTTTTCTCTTTACAAACTGGGGAGGGTCCACGTGATATGTCAACCGATCGGTGGATTGTTCCAGGCAGTGACCAGAGGTGGTCAATGCCACATGAACTTCCGCATGAACTTGCAGAACTGTTGCACATGACAAACCTGGCGGATCCGAACATACTTACACACATCATCCGAATCAAATATCAGACACTATGTCACTATATATATATATATATATGTGAACATATTTGACACTATATATATAGTATAAATAGTATATATTTAGTATATACTATTATATTTGCACTTGACTTCACACTAGCAATGCAAGGTTTGAAAAGCCAGAGCTTGCAAGAGCTGTTTTGATGACAGTCTGCAGTGGAATCCGAGCTTGCCAAGTCGTCCGTAACCGCCGTAACATCACAAGTGCTTTAGGTAAGGATTCTGTGAACCACAGCTAGACCTTCTATTGGGGTCAAATGTTCAATGCTCACATCACATCAGACAATTGACAATAAAGGGTTGTCATGGGTTATGGCTTGTGCATTGTTGATCCCTTCTTGGATGGTAAGGGGTGATGCTTTGGGCCCTCTTCGGCCGATTGATGCTAGCTGACAGAGCGAGAGAAGGGCGCAACGGCACATGCGTCAAAATCTGCCCAGGCCGCACCCTTAAATTAATTTCGCACCATTCAGAAGACTTCAGCCAAAGCACCTGAAGGGACCAAAAAGCACCACCAGAACTCCATCCACCTTTGTCAACAGCTCCGAACGTCGCCCGGGGGGGGTGGATCTCGTTCGGGCCTCTCAGGGGTGCCGTTGTTCATCCGCCCGGAGATGCTGGTGTCGGGCATCGGCAAGCGCATCGGAGGAGAGGGGCGCCCCGGAAACCGTGGTGGCGCGTTGGAGGTGATCGCGTTTGTTTTCTCCATATCTCTGGATCAAGCTGTCAATCGCACAAATTGATTGTTAAACAGTTGACATCATTTTATTCACAAGCTTGTCATCAGGGACGTAGTGCATCATGCATTTTGGTTTTGGTGGAAATTAACATAAATTAACTATCAGGAATTATAGATAGCATGGTGGGTGTTCTGGAGAGGTGTTGCAACCCCAATGATGTTGGGACGAGATGGTGCCTTCTGGGCGTTGCTCAATGTCTCTCTCAGGGTTCTAAGATCAGGTTCTTCGGATGAGAGGGGGCCCGTGTTTGGTTCTTCCAGCTGGAAGAGTCGTGGTCGTGCTGTTCCCACCGCTGGGCCCTCGGAACGGCACTCTGAACGTTCATCCAGGAGAGATGGGCGTGAATGGTGGGGAACTAGACGAGGAAGTGAAGTCTGAGGCTGGGAGTTCTTGAGCAGTGGTGATCAGAGGGGATGTGGAATGACCATAATGACCTTCCTGTTGGGTAATGGGATGGATTGGGATGGGATGGGATGGGATGGGCATCGCGGCATCGTATTGTTGGCCGTGGAGTTTTGGACCGGGGTTTTCAGAGAAGTACATTGAAGTGAAGCATGCTGGAAGAATAGATGCACAAGAAAAAGCAATGGAGCATGTGAGTGATGCAGATCGATGGTTCCAGGAACCCAGGATGGGACAGGTTCCCCCAAATCCATTCAAATCCGAATTCGCCCCTTGGACAGACTACGAGTTTGTCCTTACAGTAGGTTCCAAGATGGGGATCCATCATGATCCATCATGATAATGTTACCGTTGATCATCATCAATCCGCAAGGGGGTGTCCGCAACATGGTGCAACATCCTTTCACCATCTTTCACCCTCACTTGTCCCAATTGTTTGACCGAGCTCGCGATCCTCGTTCCCCACTGCTTGGATCAAACTCGTCTTCTCCCACTCCGACCAACGACGTTGGGATCCGACCATCGATGCGCATCTCTTCCGGCTCGTCCGTGAGTGGCGGACGCAGGAGCGGACGAAGCAGCAGAGGGAGTACCTGGAGAAATTGCCATGGCTTCCGGGAGGCGAAGCCTTTTTCCAACGCTTTGTGTCGCGGGTGAAGGAAAAGGTGAAGGGCGCCCTCCGGTCTGAATGTCGAAGGAGAGTGTTGCGCCGTGCGATCAAGAAAGGTGAAGGAGTAATTACGTCGTACGCACCTTTCCGTGTTACAACTTTCACGCATGCGTTCCCAACTGCCCATCACCGAACACATGTGTCACGTCCCTCCGCCCATACGCGCTGGCCATCTGATCCGCCCGTCGCGTGAGGTGAGAAGGTGAAGACCCACTGGCCCATTCATTCAGGTGGGCCGTAAGTCCGCCGTCTTTCGATCGCAGCGATGCGCAGAGTATGGTTTGGCGATGTTTGGCGTTTTGTTTTTCTTTACCAGGACCTTCCCAATGACCTTTTTAGAGTCCCTAAGTGACCTTTCACAAGCCTAACTGACTTCAAACCAAGAGATCAAATGATGGAAGGATCCAGCTATATAATTATTATAATATGCGGTATCTTTATGTTGTTCCGGCCATACCGTGGTTGGGCATCTCTTGGGGATGCCGAGGTTGGGTTAGGAGTCGTGAGGCTTACAATTCTTGGAAATGGACTTTTCATGGAAGTGGAACATGGCCTGTTGGATACCAGCTTTTGTTTCTTCTGCAAACAGGGGGGTTTTCCACTTTACAATATGTTTCTAGAGTTTTGAGGAGGTGAATCTTAGCTAGTAGTGATGCTGGGAGCGAGAGAACTGTGCACAGAGGAGCAATTTGACTGTTTAGCGGGCGTGTTTGCAAGATGTGCAGGTTCTTCTTGTTTTTCTTTTGTTGCCGGCTGCCCTGGCCCAGCCACAGCCACAGCTACCAATTCAGCTGTCCGTTTGGATGCGCTGTGCTTGGATGTGCAAGAAAAGCGCTTCATACAGCCAATCATTGTGGAAGCCCATGGTCGATCAGCCACGGAGGTTCCTTTTCTTCTTATTGCTTTCCCTGCCGGCGTTAGCCGGACTGAAGGTAAGAGCTCACATTCCGCCTCTTGGTCCCTCAAAGTCCTGTCATCAACGTCTCGTTGCTGCGCAGACTCTGTTCAGGCAATCCATCAACTCGATACGATGTCTACGGCACTGCTTACGCTTACACAGCAGGCATTGCATTGATTTTTCATTTTTGGGGCACCACCCCTTCTTTCCATTCGTATCGCTTGAGCCGAGGAGACCGACCATGCTGCCCGCCACTGCACGAACCCGTGCGCACCTTCGTGAGATCAGGTCGTCGCTCACAGGCTCGTCGCTGCCGATGAAAGAGAGGCCGAGCAGGTGAACCAGATCAGCCTGGTGGAGAGCCCAAGGCGGGCCGAGGACGGGGGCGGACGTGATGTGAAGAAGCATTGCTTTTGTTTAATGGACCAATGTAATGGACCCGCTGCTTTTTGTGGTTACTGTTTGTAGCTTCAGGGGCCAGGCTTTTTTCAATTTTTCCAGGTTTAGATAGGTTTAAAGTTTCGCGGTGTGCTGCTGAATGCAGCTGAATACAGAAAACATGGATTGATCATCAGACTTTCTCTAAACCTGCAGCCACCTGTTGCATTCCATCGCCTACACGAAGTAAGCCCATGCACCGCGGCCAACCTGTCAAGTTTTTGTTGGGTACGCCAATATCTGGCCCGTAAGGATCCACCTTGGTGGCCGACCTATACTCTTTAAACATGCTGCTTAGATGGTGATTTGACAAGAGAGCACCAGTGTCTCGGTCCAGGCAAGTGGAAGTGGCGGGGGGCAGAGCAAGCCAATTCGGGCAGTAGGTCAATCGATGGACTTCGTGTGGTCCAGGTTGTGTAGAACCAGATCAGGGACCAGGTTTATGGTTTCTCAAGGTGTCGCTTCAGTTAGCCGCTCTAGGACCCGAAAGGACCCTAAAGTCACAAAAAACACCGTGTGTCACAGTCATACCGAAAGCCAAGGCTGGAACCCCCAAGAATCACTGGTTTGTAGAGGACCGTTGTTTTCATTTTTGTTGTGGATCTTTGGACCTGATTGTCAAGAGCACACAGGTGAATACTGTGAACACATAGAACTACGGTCGCCATGTCGACACGAAGTCTGTCAAATGGGGTTGGTGTCGACCTCATGCAGATGCCGGTCCATCAAACAGGTTACAGTAACTGTTTATTTTGAGTCCCCTCACCTGCCGACATGTGACAGTGAGGGGGAGCAGGATGAAGAAGGAGCGTAGTATAGCGTATAGTACTTGATTCTTGGTTTTACTTGACCCTATGCCCCTCCGGCTGCTTCATAGGGAATCTTTGCAGGAAAGCCTCGGATCAGGTCAAGCCCTTGCAGGGCATCAAGCTTCTATTTGGTGCACGGCCGAGGTAAACAAGCTGTGGTTGCTGAACTGCCTTCGCACCTTTCCCTGCTCAAAAAGTCAGCTGTGAACCTGCGATGATAGTAGTAAATATAGCTCACGAAGACCTAGATTTGCTTGTGCATGGCACCCGACTTTATCAGCAAGTTTGGATGGCACTCCATTTTTGAGCCATGGCCATACTCGGATGTATTGAAAATGATGTCACGCAGTCATGCATAAATCATTCATGTGCATGTGCGGATGGCAGCCTACCATGAAGAAAAGAATGGCTGTGGGACAGCCACCATGCCAGTGGACAAGTAGCAGTTGATAGCAGTTGTGCGATGTCTAGGACAAGAGCCATGCCCTCCTAGACCATTGCTGGAAGTGATATCCTGTATTGCATTGTACCATGCTCCAATGTTGGTTCACCCAGGGTATCTTGCCTGCCCGATCCGAAGTCTCGGTGGCCCAGTCGGTCAGACTACAAACTTGAGGCGCCACCACTCATGGAGGTCCTTTGCAATCCAGACTGCCTGTGTGGGTCTCCAGCTGCGGCATCGCTCGGCTTGGACACGAGTCGCGGCGGAGGCACACGGCCTGGGCTCGAGTCGCTTCCAGCGACGGCAAAAACGCTTTGGGCCTAACCCAGTGCCTGAGCCTCGGCCTCGGTGTCCGCCCTTGACGCCGCCGGATCTCAATGGATACCAAGTCGATTTGCAGCAGAAAGTGGATTTGGTCCAAGATCTCTTGGCGGACTTGAGTGATGTCACCCTGGATGTAGTCCCCTCCCCTGAGCTCCTTCACTACCGACATCGCGTGCGCTTCGGGCTCCGGCATGGGGAAGAGGAAGCGCTGGACTGGTCGGTGGTCGACCCAGAGTCCGGCGAATGGATCGTTGTGAAGGCATACCCCTTGGCGTCTGTGCGCATCAATCGCTTGATGTCCGAGTTGCGTGAGGCGCTAGCGCAGGAGAAGAGGCTCCGGTGGAAGGCCTTTGAGGTGGAATTGCTCTCCAACACCAAGGGGGAGGCTTTAGCTTTGATCATGTACCACCGACGCCTAGACCCCGAAGACGACCTGCCGCGCGCGCAGGCCTTGGCCAAAGAGTTGGATGCGAAGGTGGTGCTCCGAGCAAAGGGGCAACGGATGGCGGGGCGCAACAGCTTCCTGGTGCAGGAGAATGAGGTGGCAGGGCGGAGGTATTCGCAACGGCTCTTGGAGAGCAGCTTCTTTCAAGCCAATCTTCGCTTGAATCAGCAGATGCCACTTGGGCAGGGAATGGTAGGGGTGTTGGTTGAGGCAAACGAGGAGACCTAGGATATGATATTGTAAGTGATATTGTAATTCTTGTCCACTGTCCACCGTTATGTTTTTTTTTAAATGTTTTTTTTGTTGTTTTGTCCTCGTTTCTGTAGCATGGCTCACTATGGCTCGCTCTCAGCGTGTGCCCTCGTAAGACACCTCGTGACGCCTGACGCGATCAAGCAAGAACGACCAAGTAAGCCATCGGCCATGACGACAACCACCCCAACCAAATTGGCAGGCAATCTTGGGTGACGGGCGAACTCACCGATCTCGCTGCCTCTGGTGGCGACCTGCTGGAGATCTACTGTGGCAATGGGAACTTCACGCTCCCCGCAGCAGACGCGTGGCGCACAGGTCAGGTGTTGGCTACTGAGTTGGACCGGCTGTCGCTGGCCGGGGCGGAGGCTTGTGCCAAGGAAGCTCGGCTCGAGTGCAACTGGTCACGGTTATTCAGTGTTTAATAGTGTCACAGGGCTTGGATTCCAAGCGCATTATCCCTTGACCAGTGGCTTCCCAGCCCTCAGAACATCCCATTGTCCATCATTTTGCCCTGTCTCCTGAGTCCAGGAGTGAAGAAGTGAAACATTCTCCCCTAAGGAAGCAGGAATTGAGAACCTGGTTTTTCGGAAGTGCATGGCTGAAGCGATGAACCTCCAGAAGCTGCGACCGCTGGGACTGCAGGGTCCCTATGAGTTCAGCACGCTCTTGTTGGATCCGCCACGTGCTGGGTTGAACGATCGAACCCGAAAGATGGCGGAGAGCTTTGATCATGTGACGCTGGGTTCTGTTCGTTTCGGAAACAGCGTTCCAAACACGAGTGCGGAGTTGGAGTCGCTTGGGGGACACCATCGGCTCGCGTTCGATGGGTCTAATATTTCGACAGAATATTCCGTTCTTGTTTAATAACGACACCAATGCGGCTGGCACCTCTTTGTGATTCTTTTTGTGTTAAGTATAGAATTGTAGAGGTCAAGCATCCACGCATGTTTAGTAGCTGTCTTTTTGCACTTGTTTTTAAAGGGAGTGACCCCTGCACAAGACGAACTCGTTAGACCCCAATGGTCCCGTTAGGGCAACAGAGACTTGAGAGGTCTATTGGCTGATCAGGGCGTTCCCGGTCTCAGGATGTGCCATGTCCCGTGTCCCGCCTCTGAGTGAGGATTTACATCTCCTGCAATCCTCGGGCCTTGCTTCGAGACTTGCAGCTGATGAAGACTCATCGCATTGAGAAGGCTTGCCTTTTCGACCAGTTCCCATGGACGGATCATGCGGAAGTGGCCGTGCGCCTCTTCAGGCTTGGCGCTTCAGGCTGACGCGCGTTTCAGAGGCGACGGCCTGTCAGGGCGGTGGAGCGGTGTGAGCCACCGTGGATTCGAAGAAAAAATGGAGCGATGCGTGGGACATGCATGGCCCTGTGGAGGGTTCTGGGCCAGGTGGAGGGTTCTGGTGGTCATCTTGCTTGTAGGGTCTACAGGTTCCTCCTTTTTCATCGGAGGTCCAACGTTTTCAGTAGAATGGGGGGGTGTATGGTGGATGTGTGTCCTTGGGTTTATGTGTTCATTTCGATCCATATGAGTTTTGAAACGCTTGCTTCTGTTTGGAGTCATGGCTTTTGCCATCAGGTCTTTGGAGACGCTCCAGAACGTCATTTTAGTCTTCATCCAAAAAAGCACCCAGATCGCTCTACGGCTGCGCAGCCCGCTGCGCCGGGTGTCGAGCGGCAAACGCGTGCCTTGACGCTACGGTGAACTCCCTGTGCTTCAATCATCGAGGAACGCAGATGAATGGGCGAATTTGGGGTTGTTTTGCTTTCAAGCTTTTGGATGCCTTTGGTCAATAGCTGTCACTAGCCACTAAAGCCCTTCCCAACCCGCAACCATTTGCAACCAGGAGACTTGTGCGGATGGGTTGTAGATGTTTGGCGCGCACGGTCCATTCGCGGTAAACTGCGGCTCCCACGTCCGCGAAGTCGCGGGGTTCATCGAGGGCAAGAAACAGTTGCTTCGATTTAAACAAATGCTCATTTGGGATCCTTGCCACAGAAGTGTGCCCAAAGGACGGCATTGCACATGAGCGAACGGGCAGTGATGGTGGTGGCGTTTTCCGGCCAAACGCCCAAACAGCGTTGATTCGAGAGATGTGTCATTCTCAGCCACTTCCGCTTGTGGCAAGTGGTCACAGCCGACCAATGCACGAACCATGGCAAGCTATTGGCTTTGATGCAGCGTGACCACGAAGAGGGCATGGGGTTGACGTTTGTCAATTGGAAAAAGCAATGCCACGAATTGATGTTGATCGTAATCCTATGTTATGTACAGTCCGTGCCAAGCATGTTGCTGCATTTCATGGCTGCAGATCATTTCTCTTCAAACGAAGACTTCCAGGCTTCCAGCCGCGAGCTTTGAGCTGTGATCCTTTGGGCTTGGATGCTCAGGCTGACAACGTTCATGCCCCCCAACCCATCATTTGAGAGCGAAAGTTCTTTAGATCCATCCGTGCGCTGGCCACCATTTTGATATGTTCCAACGCCTGGTTTAGTTTGATTATGTTTGATTGATTTACTTGCTGCTGCCACTTGCCATTCTGAGACGAGATAGTGAGAATGAGCAGCATACAGGGTTTGAAAACACAACGGCTGAGAGATGTCTTCACTTGCGCGCACTCGGCCGCACACCTTATCCGCTTACTCTTCAAAATTGTGCCAAACACAAGTGACAGGAGCACTCCTTTCAGTGAAGACATGTGCGGCGCTCATGATGTCATGAGCCCGGCCAAAACCAACTCAGCTAAGGTCAGAACATCGTGGTGGCCGATGATTTCAAGATCTACGCGAGGGGCCTCAACGGGCTTCTTGACCGTTTGGGAGACCGCATCGCTTGAAGTCCATTGGCAGCTTGCGGCTTCCAATGAAGTCCAGCCAGGCTTCCACTGGTTCCATGATGCTGAAAAGGTCACACGCTCACACCATGCGCTTAAGATCGCTTAAGTCGTTGATGGCGTGATTTTGAGCATATGCCATTCTTGGGGGTTGTTGGAGTTGGTCGGAGGTGTTGCAAACTCGCCGTGGAACCAGCTCCTTGTTGAGGCAGCCAAGCTCAGGCAAAGAACAGCCAAGAGCTCGGAGATGTTGCAGCTTAGAGGTGTTCAGAACCAAGCTGAAATCGATCTAAATTATGATAGTTTCCTACCATGTTGTCGATTAAGATGATTAAGTGGGTCAGGATCAGTGCAGGAAGATTCCGAGGGCTTTCCATAAGATCAATGTTGTGTGTTGTTCAATCATTTTGCCCGGTGGTGGTGGTGTTTCAGCCGACTTGTCTCCACAACGATGAAAAAGGATGAAAAAGGCTACAAACTGAATCGAACCAGGTGGAACAGATGGATGAATCGAGCCGACTACGAGGCAGGCCTCGCTGAACATGTTGACCAACCGTTTCGGATCAGATCAGATTTCGGTGGAGGCCAACGGTCTGCAGTTGCGTCGAAGCGAGGATTCGCCCCTCACAACATGAGGTCTGCAGTCGCGACAGTTGAAACATGAAACGCATTTCCAGTGGAGGGGGTGCGCTTCCAGTTGGCTCCCAGTGATTGATGCGTGTGTGCCGTGTGTGCGCCGGTTCTTTGAACTCAGAGGACTTAGAGTTGGAAGGAAAAGGAATGGCTCAGCAGACCAGAGTACCACGAGCGAATTCGCAGGTGGTGGCGCGACGACAGAAAGGCCTTGGGGAACTCCCAAGAAGTGAGAATCAGCACCACTCAGTGTGTATTGGTTAGTAGCTTCTTGTTACTAGTAACAAGTGCCACGCTAGTAGTAACAAGTGCCTTACTAGTAGTAACAAAAAGCTATTAGATTTATGTGTAACATTAAATGAAATGAATAGCTTCTTGTTACTACTAGTAAGGCACTTGTTCCTAGTAGCGACGCACTTGTTCCTGTTACTACTAGCGTGGCACTTGTTACTAGTAGCTTCCTTTGTTCAGTTATTTCTTAAATGTGTCTTCATTTTGTCCATTCTTACTTGCGAAATTGCATGAACTGGCTATCCAATCTTAAAGTGTTGTCCCAATTGTCTTGTATATGACTGTATATGGTTTTAGTTGTGTTTGGTGGTAGCAACTAATATAAGGTACCAGGCCGATTCATCTCTTGGGTATGCCTGGCATTGCCTCGCATTCGCGGATGAAGTGGGGTGCTACTAGTAGCTTCTTGTTCCTAGTAGCGGTGGCCTCCAACCTACTTGCGATGGCCTCCACCTAAGAGCGTCT